GTAACTGACTGTATCTTTGCTATTTTTGAAGGGATAAACTTCATATTATAACAGAACATTCTTAAGGACCAGACCTTGTTGTTTATCAAACCCAAATTTGCTTGGGCTCTTTAATGACCTTGACCTTGAAGGTTATATTACTGAATTTTCTCAGATTGTGCATTTATTGGTGTGTGTGTATGTATAGTATATGTATTATATATATATATATATATATATAAATGTGTGTGTGTATATATATACATATATGCAGGTATATATATATATAAATATATATATATATATATGCATGCATAGAAATTGCGTCATTGTTGCTATTTTTAGAAATTGCGTCATTTTTTTCTATTTTTAGAAATTGCGTCATTTTTGTTCTATTTTTAGAAATTGCGTCATTTTTTTTTCTATTTTTAGAAATTGCGTCATGTTTTTCTATTTTTAGAAATTGCGTCATGTTTTTCTATTTTTAGAAATTGTGTCATTTTTTTTATTTTTAGAAATTGCGTCATTTTTTTCTATTTTTAGAAATTGCGTCATTTTTGTTCTATTTTTAGAAATTGCGTCATTTTTGTTCTATTTTTAGAAATTGCGTCATTGTTTCTATTTTTAGAAATTGCGTCGTTTTTCTTTTAGAAATTGCGTCATTTTTTCTATTTTTAGAAATTGCGTCATTTTTTCTATTTTTAGAAATTGTGTCATTGTTGCTATTTTTAGAAATTGCGTCATTTTTTTCTATTTTTAGAAATTGCGTCATTTTTTTCTATTTTTTAGAAATTGCGTCATTGTTGCTATTTTTAGTAATTGCGTCATTTTTTTCTATTTTTAGAAATTGCGTCATTGTTTCTATTTTTAGAAATTGCGTCATTTTTTCCCTATTTTTAGAAATTGCGTCATTTTTTCTATTTTTAGAAATTGCGTCATTTTTTTCTATTGTTAGAAATTGCGTCATTTTTTCTATTTTTAGAAATTGCGTCATTTTTTCTATTTTTAGAAATTGCTTCATTGTTGCTATTTTTAGAAATTGCGTCATTGTTGCTATTTTTAGAAATTGCGTACTGTTGCTATTTTTAGAAATATGCTTAATGTTTCTATTCATATATATACAAAATATATAAACAAAACTAATGTGACAAGACAGACCAACTAAATTTATAAAAAGGAAACATCAATATATGTTCAAACCTTTCTATGTTTGCGTTTAGAAAAAGTAAAATGTCGAGCGTTGCCCCCGCCCGGCGGTGGCTCTTGTTACAGGTGTATTGACCTTATTCTATAGACAGATGTTATTTATAATTGATAGAAACATAAACTTTGATGGAGTCACTGTCAGTTGGGTCAAGGTCACCAGTGCTAAAAATAGATTTTTACACATTTGCTCATACAGCCTTTATTAAGTGACAGATATATTTAATATTTGGTAGGAAGATAACTTGCATGGTATTCATCCTTTTGATTGGGTAGGGATCAGTGGGTCAAGGTCACTTGTGCTAAAACTAGATTTTTACACTTTTGCCCATACAGCTTTTATTTATTGACAGATGTATTTCATATTTGGTAGGAAGATTAGATAACTTGCATGGTATTCTTCCTTTGGATGGAGTAAGGGGTCAGTTGGGTCAAGGTCACCAGTGCTCAAAATAGCTTTTTACACCTTTGCCCATACAGCCTTTATTTATTGACAGATGTATTTCATATTTGGTAGGAAGATAACTTACATGGTATTCTTCTTTTGGATAGAGTTAGGGGTCAGTTTGGTCAAGGTCACCAGTGCTCAAAATAGATTTTTTTACTTTTGCCCATACAGCCTTTATTTAATGACAGATGTATTTCATATTTGGTAGGAAGATAACTTGCATGAAGTTGAATATTTTTCAACTTCACAAGTCAGAGCAATGACTTGGCAACTTATATTTTTCACAATTACAAAATGCCATGACTTTGTCAAGCTATATAACTTGTGTTTACAATTTTTTGGCAATTTTTCTGTCCATAACTGAGTGAATGGGTAAACATTTTTTGAATTATTGCTACTGACAAGAATCTGAGCCGGGGGCATTTGTGTTTAACAAACACGTTCTTGTTAAATTCTGTGTTTCATTTTATTTTTTTAATAAATATATTTGTTGGATTAGCAGATCTAGCATTGATCATAATTTTGGACTGAATGTTTTGAAATAGCACAATTTTATGCTTTATATAAAACTTCCCCGAGGCGGGGGACATTGGTAACTCTGTAACAAATTCTTGGGTGTTGCTAGCTTTAACATAGATGCGCTATGAAAATATGGTGATTATTTTAAAAAGGTCTTTTTAATAAGCTTAGTAATATAGGATTAAAAGCAAAACCAATATCAAAATTCATGGTGAATATCCATATCGGTACCCTCTTTGCAAAACCTACTGAAACGGTACCCTCTTTGCACATGCACAGGTCATTCTCTGCTAAAAATAAACCAGCAAAGGATAACAATCCAGTAAAATTTCATTGTAATAAGAAAAGGAGGTATGACACGTTGAATAGATGTATACCATGGAACACTAGAATGTTTAATTTATGCGCTGATTTGTCATGTGCCCGTTTTTCAAGTACTACAACTTCACAATAAGCTATATAAAATCAACATGTCTTGCCTCGCCCATCACCTCGACATATTTTTGTGCCCCCACATTAGTGGCGGGCATTTAGATTTACCCTTGTCCGTCCGTCCTTCCGTCCGTCCTTCCGTCCGTCCGTCCGTTCACTTTTGTGTCGCACGTAACTCTAAAAGTATTTGACCTAGAGTCATGAAACTTTACAGGAATGTTGATCAGCATGTGTAGTTGTGCACCTGGGTATTTTCGTCTTGATATTTTTAGTATTTTCAGAGTTATTGCCCTTGACTTAGTAAAATTTTGCAATTTTCAACTTGTGTCGCATGTAACTCAAAAAGTATTTGACCTAGAGTCATGAAACTTTACAGGAATGTTGATCAGCATGTGTAGTTGTGCACCTGGGTATTTTCATGTGGATATTTTTTGTATTTTCAGAGTTATTGCCCTTGACTTAGTAAAATTTTGCAATTTTCAACTTGTGTCACACGTAACTCAAAAAGTATTTGACCTAGTGTCATGAAACTTTACAGGAATGTTAATCAGCATGTGTAGTTGTGCACCTGGGTATTTTCGTCTGGATATTTTTAGTATTTTCGGAGTTACTGCCCTTGACTTAGTAAAATTTTGCAATTTTCAACTTGTGTCGCATGTAACTCAAAAAAAATTTGACCTAGAGTCATGAAACTTTACAGGAATGTTGATCAGCATGTGTTGTTGTGCACCTGGGTATTTTCATGTGGATATTTTTAGCATTTTCAGAGTTATTGCCCTTGACTTAGTAAAATTTTGCAATTTTCAACTTGTGTCGCACGTAACTCAAAAAGTATTTGACCTAGTGTCATGAAACTTTACAGGAATGTTAATCAGCATGTGTAGTTGTGCACCTGGGTATTTTCGTCTGGATTTATTTAGTATTTTTAGAGTTATTGCCCTTCACTTAGAAAATTTTTGCAATTTTCAACTTGTGTCGCAAGTTACTCAAAAAGGATTTGACATAGTCATTAAACCTTATGGGCAGGTTGCTCAGCATATTTAGATTTGCACCTGGGGTTTCGCTTGTGGATTTATCCAGTATTTGTAGAGTTATTTCCCTTGACTTAGTAAAAAGATTGACAGAACAGTGGCGCGGTGGGGGCACCCGTGTCCTATGGACACATTTCTAATTCTGGCTGAAATGAACCACTGGCTTGATTATATATGTATCATACATATTTTATATGTTCATTTATATATCATCTACGGACATATGGCAGTATATTGTCAATAATAAATTAATTTGTCATAACTAATAGATGACCCCTTTTGATTTTGGGGTCACTAGGTCAAAGGTCAAGGTCATAGGGGTCTTAAATGTCAGAATGGATTCCGCTCATTATCTTGGTTACTATTTTTCACAAAGTCTTCATATTTCACATATCGATTGGTCATAACTAGTAGATGAACCCTATTGATTTTGGGACACTAGGTGAAAGGTCAAGGTCACAGGGGCATTAAGTGGTAGTATGATTTCTGCTGATTATCTTGGTTTCTATTTATTAAAAAGTCTTCATATTTCACATATTGAGTCGTTATAACTAGTAGATGACCCCTATTGATTTTGAGGTTACCAGGTCAAAGGTCAAGGTCACAGGAGCCATAAATGTTAGAATGCTTTCAGCTCATTATCTTGGTTACTATTCATCACAAAGTCTTCATATTTCACATATTGATTGGTCATAACTAGTAGATAACCCGTATTGATTTTGGGGTCACCAGGTCAAAGGTCAAGGTCACAGGGTCCTTAAATGGTAGTATGATTTCAGCTCATTATTATGAAAGCTGATTATCACAAAGTCTTCATATTTCACAAAGTGATTGGTCATTACTAGTAGATGACCCCTATTGCTTTCTGGTCACTAGTTCAAAGGTCAAGTTCACAGGGACCTAAAATGTCGGAATTGTTTCCGCTTATTATCTTGAAAACTATTTATCATAAAGTCTTTATATTTCACATACTCATAACTAGTAAGTGACCCCTATTGATTTTGGTGTCACTAGGTCAAAGGTCCTGGTCACAGGGTCCATAATGGTAATATGGTTTATGCTCATTATCTTGAAATCTTTTTATCCTAAAATCATCATATTTCTAATATTGATTGGTTATAACTATTAGATGACCCCTATTGATTTTGTGGTCACTAGTTCAAAGGTCAGGGTCACAGGGGCCTAAAATGTCAGAATGGTTTCCGCTCATTATCTTGAAAACTATCACAAAGTCTTCATTATTTTTCTTTCTTCCATAACTGAACACTTCCATGTACCAATTTATGGCAAGTTTCTATAACAAAATAACCAATAATGTGAGTCAAGGGCTAGAAAGGGGGCATATGTGTCATTCGACATTTCTTGTTTTATTTTTGCTGATGTTTTAGGCTAGACGAGTCTCTTTGGAAAAGGATAGATCTCTCAACAAAGTCGCTGGGTCCTGGAGTGCTTGGTCATATTATGAGCAGAGGGGTCTGGGCTCTAAGGTTGGCAAAGGCGGAGGTAAAATTAAAACTTTTAAACATCACCTGAGTACTACTTCTTATAATTTCTTGGTAAAATTTGTGTTCAGAATGCAGTATTTGAAGTGTGACCAATATAACACTAAGAAATGATGGATGCAGTAGTGGGTCTTGTAAACTGATTTGTTATTTTATTGACATTATGTTTTGATCAAATGCCAGATACAATTTTCTCGTAAATCTTTATTTCCCCATCCCCCCCCCACCACCCGCGACAATAAAAAAACCCAAAAAACAGGGAGGCATTATATTTCATGTCATACTTCTGTCTGTCTCGCTGGTCCTTTTGTCCAAACTGTGTCTGGTCCATAACTTTGTCATTATATAGGGTATATGTTGACCCCTGGAGTGAGATATGAAATAACTCTATTGCCCATTTAAGTTTATAAACTGGTGATGATTTTTTTCAGTTTCATCAAATTCAAAAAGTCATTTGTGCATTACTAACATTTGAAAAGAGATTGTGTGCATCATGCACCTTGGTATGAATCAATGCTTCTGATTGGTCAGACAAGTTGCGATAAGATTATATAAAATTGCTATAAAATTGAAGGTGTCGGGTTTTGTCCTCTTTATAAAATTTAGGTGTGGGGCTAATCCATTCTATAAAATTTTGAGATGTGGGGTTTTGTCAGACGTCCACAATTTTACCTCAGACATCATTATCTATTGAGCTCTTTATTCAAATAATGAGATACCTTTTTAGCTCGACTATTCGATAAGAATAAGTAGAGCTATTGCAGTCACCCGAGCGTCGGCGTCCGCGTCGGCGTAACCACTTATGTTAAAGTTTTTGTAATAGTTAAAATATTTTCAAAGTCCATTGACATATGGCTTTGAAACTTTGCACACTTGTTCACCATCATGACCCCAACCTGTAGACAGGAGGAGGTAACTCTATCAAGCATTTTGACAGAATTATGCCCCTTTTTCGACTTAGTATTTACGTTAAAGTTTTTGTAATAGTTAAAATATTTTCAAAGTCCATTGACATATGGCTTTGAAACTTTGCACACTTGTTCACCATCATGACCCCAACCTGTAGACAGGAGGAGGTAACTCTATCAAGCATTTTGACAGAATTATGCCCCTTTTTCGACTTAGAATTTACGTTAAAGTTTTTGTAATAGTTAAAATATTTTCAAAGTCCATTGACATATGGCTTTTGAAACTTTGCACACTTGTTCACCATCATGACCCCAACCTGTAGACAGGAGGAGGTAACTCTATCAAGCATTTTGACAGAATTATGCCCCTTTTTCGACTTAGAATTTACGTTAAAGTTTTGTAATAGTTAAAATATTTTCAAAGTCCATTGACATATGGCTTTGAAACTTTGCACACTTGTTCACCATCATGACCCCAACCTGTAGACAGGAGGAGGTAACTCTATCAAGCATTTTGACAGAATTATGCCCCTTTTTCGACTTAGAATTTACGTTAAAGTTTTTGTAATAGTTAAAATATTTTCAAAGTCCATTGACATATGGCTTTGAAACTTTGCACACTTGTTCACCATCATGACCCCAACCTGTAAACAGGAGGAGGTAACTGTATCAAGCATTTTTTTTACTATCAAGCACTAAGAATAGTTGAGCGTTGCTGTCCTACCGACAGCTCTTGTTTAGTCCCCTACCGGTTTACTGGAGGGGAATTTAGGCTACCCTCCGTCCATCTGTCTGTCTGTCAGTCCGTCAGTCTGTCCGTCCACAAAACTGGATCCCGCGATAACTTGAAAAGTACTGAAAATATTTGTATGAAACTTGATATATGGATAGATGGCAGTATTGAGATTATGCACGTCTTTTTCTTTTCTTCCTATCTTGAAAATTCTGGTTGCTATGGCCACAAATAGGCTGAAAATATGGCAAATTTTACACATAAATTGGATCCAGTGATAACGCAAAAAGTACTGGAAATATTTTTATGAAACTTGATATATGGATAGATCGCAGTCTGTAGATTATGCACGTCTTTTTCTTTTCTTCCCATGTTGAAAATTTTGATTGCTATGGCAACAAATAGGCTTAAAATATGGCAAATTTTACACATAAACTGGATCCAGTGATAACGCAAAAAGTACTGGAAATATTTTTATAAATCTTGAAATATGGGTAGATGGCAGTCTGGAGATTATGCACGTCTTTTTCTTTTCTTCCTATGTTGAAAATTCTGGTTGCTATGGCAACACATAGACTGAAAATATGGCAAATTTTACACATAAACTGGATCCAGTGTTAACACAAAAAGTAATAGAAATATTTTTATGAAACTTGTAATATGGGTAGATGGCAGTCGGGAGATTATGCATGTCTTTTTCTTTTCTTCCTATGTTGAAAATTCTGGTTGCTATGGCAACACATAGACTGAAAATATGACAAATTTTACACATAAACTGAATCCAGTGATAACTCAAAAAGTACTGGAAATTTTTTTATGAAACTTGACATATGGGTAGATGGCAGTCTGGAGATTATGCATGTCTTATCTTTTCTACCTATTTTGAAAAAATATTGGTTGCCTTGGCAACAAATAGGCTTAAAACATGGCAAATATAACAATATTTGTGATAAGTCAAAAAGAGCTGAATTTTTTTTATGAAATTGCATCTTTAATTCAAGAGTTATCTCCTTTTTAAGAATTTTGCTTTTAAAAATGTTATTTTTTGGTAACAGGGATTTTTCAAATATTAACTTTAGAGTGTCCTTCAGTCCGTCTATCTGTCTGTTCATAAAAACTGTTTCCTGTGATCACTTTTAAAGAACTTTTCCAACAAATTGACTTAAATTAGAGAAAAATTGAAACATTAGTGAATGGCCAATGGCCCTTCAGAATGTTGATTGGGTTCTAACCGGTAGGGGACTTATGGATTGCTTGCAATACTATGATAATTGCTTGTTTTTTTGTGGAATAAGCGGTCTCTAGGGTCAAGGTCACTGGTTTAAAAAATAAATATAAACATTTTTGCTCATACAGCCTTTATTTTTTAGTTGATGTCTTAGTTTAATACAAACATGCCAAGGGAGGTCCTCCTTCTTTGGGTGTAGTAAGGAGTCATTTGGGTCAAGGTCAGTGTTACCAATGTCAAGGTCACCAATGTGAAAATAGTTTTTACATTTTTACAGGTGTATTGACCTTATCAGTGGGTCAAGGTCACCTGTGCTAAAAATAGATTTTTACACTTTTGCCCATACAGCTTTTATTTATTGACAGATGTATTTCATATTTGGTAGGAAGATAACTTGCATGGTATTCTTCCTTTGGATGGAGTAAGGGGTCAGTTGGGTCAAGGTCACCAGTGCTAAAAATAGATTTTTACACTTTTGCCCATACAGCCTTTATGTATTGACAGATGTATTTCATATTTGGTAGGAAGATAACTTACATGGTATTCTTCTTTTGGATAGAGTTAGGGGTCAGTTTGGTCAAGGTCGCCAGTGCTCAAAATAGATTTTTACACTTTTGCCCATACAGCCTTTATTTAATCACAGATGTATTTCATATTTGGTAGGAAGATAACTTGCATGAAGTTGAATATTTTTTAACTTCACAAGTCAGAGCAATGACTTGGCAACTTATATTTTTCACAATTACAAAATGCCATGACTTTGTCAAGCTATATAACTTGTGTTTACAATTTTTTGGCAATTTTTCTGTCCATAACTGAGTGAATGGATAAACATTTTTTGAATTATTGCTACTGACAAGAATCTGAGCCGGGGGCATTTGTGTTTAACAAACACATTCTTGTTGTGCTCTGCTTCACAGTAGCTGCAACATTCAATTGGTTATCATGGGGTGACACATTACTTGTATTGCATTTGATGAAGATAAATCTATATTGTTTACAGATTGAAGGTCCAATTTTCACTGGTTCATCTAGTCCTATAAAATCAACAAGGTAAGTCAATATATACTGGTAACATACTTTAATATTGTAACGAGCACCGAGCTTATATATGTTACTAATTTTTCCTCTGGCTTATTTGCCTTATGATTATTTGATTGAAGACAAATGATTGATATTACTTAATAAATGTGCATAAATCACCAAATTGAATTAAATCTATAAATATAATTTTCCCCGAGACTACCTTGTCTTTTAATTGAAAAACAAATAATGATTTCTATATCTATTAAACATTTTATATGATATCCTATTTATATATACATGTTCCATCTTTCTCGTTATCTATGTCTCTACTAATAGAATTATTCTTCCTTTATTAATCTTTAATCCTTGCTTTCTTTCTACTTGATATTTCTCAGCCTTATCACAGCGCTATGCACTGTGCAACTAAGAATATAAAAAGTAGGTATAGCATTTAGGATTGTCGACTGTTCAACACGCTGCCAAAACACCAACTCCCAATTTCTTACATTCACCTTCCTTATATATTGACTCGGGACTGCTTGCGCCCTCTATCGTCTTCATTATCTTGCAAACGCTTGAATATTTTACTTCCATTGAATCAACTACTGCTTACCTTTTCAATATGCGTTACTTTTGAATGTAATTAAATGACTCGGGGGAACCATCGCCAAAATGAATATTATCTTACCTTTTTTTACATTAAATAATACAACTGCTAACTTTAAGGACTCTAAATTGAAAAGTAAAAGGTAATTAAATCAAGTAACATCATCAAACATATTTGATACCAACTTACAGATCAAGTTATTAAGAACTCTCGTCTGAAAATTAAAAAATTTGATTGTATACAAATGATGTTTACCTATTAAGGGGAAGTAACTTTTATAGTTTCGCTACAATATAAAGTCATCAGTTCAGCGCGTTCAGCCGATTCCGTAAGCTAAGTACATCCCTGGATTCGTGATTATTCAGCTGTAAACCCAACAGGAAGTATTTGTCTTATAGAAAACCCTGAACCTGTATTGAAAACTTCAGATATAGTTTGAGGAAGTGGTTTTAAATAACAAAGGAGGACACCTGACCACTATACATACACCTATATTTAAGGTATACAAAGTTTTCAGATGAATATAAAGTTGTCGTACATTTTGATTTTTAACAAATGCCATTTTTAATTGAACTACATGTATACCAATTATTACAAGAACATAATTAGTTTTACATGCTAGATTACAAACATTTTTAAGAATCTATTAAAAATAAAAATGATAACATATAGCAAGTACAATGTACATGTAATTATGCCTGTTAAAAAGAGTTACAATAGCCAACGATCTGAGATAAGCAACGTATATGTCACTGATAAGAGACCTGTTCTAAAAATAGCCACATATCGTAAGTTTCGGACAAAGAATCTGGATTAATCTACATGTAGATTATTCAAGATAATGGTTACGAATACTTTTATTCACATTTCTCTCAATGAAAATGATGTTCCTGGAGTAAAACTTGCGTAAAGCATGATTGAGAAGCATTCTTATGTACAACTACGATGATGATTTAAAACAGATAATTTAAAAAAGAAATTACTTTTGGGGCATTATATACTTTCCCTGCATGTCTATTTGAGCCAAATTTGTTTTTGTTTCACTATTTATCAACCAGTGATTTTTAGCTCGACTGTTCGAAGAATATGAGAGCTATTGTAGTCGCCCCGGCGGCGGCGTCGGCGTCAGCGTCCGCGTCGGCGTCTGCGTTGGTTAAAGTTTTTTGTTAAGTCAAATATCTCAATTATTGCTTGAGATATTCAATTGAAACTTACAATACTTATTTATAGTAACTAGGTACATCAGATTGACAAGTTGGATAACTCTGCCTACAATATTGACAGAATTATGCCCCTTTTTAACTTAGAAATTTTGGTTAAAGTTTTTGTAAAGTCAAATATCTCAATTATTGCTTGAGATATTCAATTGAAACTTACAATACTTATTTATAGTAACAAGGTACATCAGATTGACAAGTTGGATAACTCTGCCTACAATATTGACAGAATTATGCCCCTTTGAAACTTAGAAATTTTGGTTAAAGTGTTTTTGTAAAGTCAGATATCTCAATTATTGCTTGAGATATTCAATTGAAATTTACAATACTTTTTTATAGTAACAATGTACATCATTTTGCAAAATTGCATAACTCTGTCTGCAATATTTGCAAAATTATTTGCCCCTTTGAAACTTGTACCTTTTCTGTCAATTTTATGTATTCATAGGTAATTAGTATTATTATACTCAATAAAACACCCTTGTGACATTACCTTCCAAGTAGTCAAGCCAATACTGTATATATAATTAGACTCTCTTTAAGGCCTATAACATGAATTTATAAAAAAAAATTAGCCCTTTTGTGAACTAAGAAAATTTAACATTATCAAGGCTCTTTTACTATCAAGCACTTAGAATAGTCGAGCGTGCTGTCCTACTGAGAGCTCTTGTTTTCACTGTATTTTACAGCCGAATAAAGGCTGTTTCCCCTAGCCCAAAATAGGTATATTTTCCCCTAAAAATGCTAACATTTTCCCCAAAATGCCTCGTGCTCTTCCTTACCAGAACCATGACTTAACAGCATCTGACTTTTATTATCTAGAAGACAGAAATCTGTCCTGATATATAGCCTCTGCTATGTACCATGCATGTAAAATTGAATTGTTATTATTTTTTTTCCATAAAAAGTGTGGGTAAATTCCATTTTCAGTTGTTGGAATTTGATTTCAGGTTTTCCCCCTTTTTAGCTCACCTGTCACAAAGTGACAGGGTGAGCTTTTGTGATCGCTTTTCGTCCGTCGTCCGTCCGTCGTCCGTCCGTCCGTAAACTTTTACTTTAAATGACATCTCCTCATAAACCACTAAGCCAATTTCATCCAAACTTCACAGGAATGTTCCTTTGGTGGTCACCTTTAAAAATTCTTCAAATAATTTAATTCCATGCAAAACTCTGGTTGCCATGGCAACCGAAAGAAAAAACTTTAAATATCTTCTTCTAAAAGACCATAAGAGCTAGAGCTTAGATATTTGGCATGAAACATCTTCTAGTGAGTGTCTACCAAGTTTGTTCAAATAAAAGCCCTGGGGTCAAAATTGGCCCCGCCCCGGGGGGTCATTGATTTTCCCTATATGCATATAGTAAAAACTTAAAAACTCTTCTTTTAAAGAACCCAAAGAGCTAGAGCTAAGATATTTAGCATGAAACATGTTCTAATGGGTGTCTACCAAGTTTGTTCAAATAAAAGCCCTGGGGTCAAAATTGGCCCCGCCCCGGGGGTCATTGATTTTCCCTATATGCATATAGTAAAAACTTAAAAAATCTTCTTTTAAAGAACTCAAAAGAGCTAGAGCTTAGATATTTGGCATGAAACATCTTCTAGTGAGTGTCTACCAAGTTTGTTCAAATAAAAGCCCTGGGGTCAAATTGGCCCCGCCCCGGGGGGTCATTGATTTTCCCTATATGCATATAGTAAAAACTTAAAAAATCTTCTTTTAAAGAACCCAAAGAGCTAGAGCTAAGATATTTAGCATGAAACATGTTCTAATGGGTGTCTACCAAGTTTGTTCAAATAAAAGCCCTTGGGTCAAAATTGGCCCCGCCCCGGGGGGTCATTGATTTTCCCTATATGCATATAGTAAAAACATAAAAAATCTTCTTTTAAAGAACCCAAAGAGCTAGAGCTAAGATATTTAGCATGAAACATGTTCTAATGGGTGTCTACCAAGTTTGTTCAAATAAAAGCCCTGGGGTGAAAATTGGCCCCGCCCCGGGGGTCATTAATTTTCCTATATGCATATAGTAAAAACTTAAAAATCTTCTTTTAAAGAACTCAAAGAGCTAGAGCTTAGATATTTGGCATGAAACATCTTCTAGTGTGTGTCTACCAAGTTTGTTCAAATAAAAGCCCTGGGGTCAAAATTGGCCCCGCCCCGGGGGGTCATTGATTTTCCCTATATGCATATAGTAAAAACTTAAAAAATCTTCTTTTAAAGAACCCAAAGAGCTAGAGCTAAGATATTTAGCATGAAACATGTTCTTATGGGTGTCTACCAAGTTTGTTCAAATAAAAGCCCTGGGGTGAAAATTGGCCCTGCCCGGGGGGTCATTGATTTTCCCTATATGCATATAGTAAAAACATAAAAAATCTTCTTTTAAAGAACTCAAAGAGCTATGGGTAAGTTATTGAGCATCAAACATGTTCTAATAGGTGTCTACCAAGTTTGTTCAAATACAAGCCCAGGGGTCAAAATTGGCCCCGCCATGGGGGGTCATTGATTTTCTTTATATGTGTTTAGCAAAAACTTTAAATCTTCTTTGAAAAAACCCGAATAGCTAGAGTTTAGATATTAAGCATGAAACATCTTCTAGTAAGTGTCTACAAAGTTTGTTCAAATAAAAGCCCTGGGGTCAAAATTGGCCCGGCCCCAGGGGTGTCATTGTTTTTAACTATATGTGTATAGTAAAAACTTAAAAAAAAATCTTCTTTTAAAAAGCCCCAATGAGCTAGAGCTTAAATGTTTAGCATGAAACATCTTTCTAATGGGTGTCTACCAAGTTTGTGCAAATAAAAGCCCTTGGGTTAAATTGGCTCTGCAACGTTGGGGGTGGGGGGGGGGGGGCTATATACAGGTGAGCGACCTCAGGGCCATCATGGCCCTCTTGTTTGATTCATCACACTATATTTTCCCCTTCAGAAAGCCACAGGTTAAGAATTTAGGACTAAAAATGAAAGTGTATCTTTTTGTCCCAGATATACCGTACGAATTTTGTTTCTATGTAAAATACTTAGATTGGAGATGTCATGAATCTATCCCCCAAAGTGCTATGATCAATTAGATTAATTGATTAATATCTTAATTCTTTGAATAATTTTTAGAATAAGCAAAACTCTGCATTTTTCCTATTTGATATATTTTGATTGAAATAATGTATACGTACATGCATGCTTGCATGTATATTTAAACTATTGACAAATTGAGGTT